AGGCGGTGGAATCGGCTGCAACTGACCCGCCTTTCTTTTTCGCGAGCTCTTCATCACCTGACACGTAGCCCACGTGGTGCTGTACGTCGGTCAACAGCTCCGGCCAGTAGTAATACCGCTGCAGTTGCTGTCGCATTTTTTCTACCTCGAAATGTCCCGAGGTAATCCCGTCGTGTGCCTCCTGCAGTAACAGTTCCCTCAGTAGTGAATACGCAGGTACCCAGATGCGGTTGGTGCCTGTTTTTACGTAATAGACTCCTCTGGCCTCTGCCAGTTGCTGTGAATTTCCGATCGTGAAAAATGGGTCGGTACTGTATCCGTGGGTGAATAGGCCTGTTAACAGTGGGTTGGTTTGGGCGAGTAGGATGGCGTGGAGTTGGGCAGTGGGGCGTGTGAGTGCGTCAGCGATGTTGGATGCACCTTTTTTGTACGTGACCGTGTAGTGAAAGTTGGACTCCAGATAGTCCAACCAGCGGATCTGTCGTGGGTTGAGATTCAGTTGGGCGCGGAGGTACTGTAGGGATCGATGGTCTGTCCGTACTGTCACGTCTGCTCCCGTGAGGTAACATCGCCACACCTTGAACGCGTGCACGATCGCCAGCATCTCGCGGTCGTGTATCGGGTAGTTGCGTTCGGGCGGGTGAAGCTTGCGGGACTCGTACGCGATTGGCTGAAGGCCGTTCCCGAAGTCCTGCAACAGTACTGCTCCCACAGCGATGTCGCTAGCGTCGGTGACGAGTTCGAACGGACGGTGCGGATCTGCGATGTGAAGTATGGGCGGTGAGCACAAAATATTTTTGAGGGCCGAGAAGGCAGCTTGCTCTTTCTCCCCCCATGTGTACTCAACCCCCTTCCTCAGCAGGTCGGTCAACGGGGCAGTCAGCTTCGCCATGTCGGGGACGAACCGGCGCACGTAGTTGACGAACCCCAGAAAACTCTGCAACTCGGTCAAGTTGGTCGGCGCGTGCCATGCTTGAATTGTCGCGATTTTTTTCGGGTCTATTTCCACTCCTGCAGCTGAAATAATGTGTCCCAAAAACTCCAATCGGTCCTGTAAAAACTCACACTTAGACGCTTTTGTCAGTAGGCGGTTCTCACTCAGTATCTTAAAAACTGCTTCGATGTCCTGTAAGTGCTGTGCTCTGTCGGGACTGTAAATCAGTATGTCGTCCAGATACACGATGACGCACTTATCTAAAAGCAGGCGGAAGGCTTCGTTCATGGTCATTTGGAAAGTGGCAGGGGCGTTGGTCAGTCCGAAGGGCATGACGGTGTATTCAAAAGATCCGTAGCGTGTTCGGAAAGCTGTCTTGGGGCAGTCGGGTGGGTTGACGCGAATCTGGTGGTAACCTCCCCGAAGGTCAATTTTCGAGAAAACCCGGGCTGTGCGCAGTTGGTCGATCAGTTCGTCGGCTCGCGGGATGGGGTAACGGGATTTTATGGTAACCCTGTTAAGTGCTCTGTAATCTATGCACATGCGAACCCCCCGTCCTTTTTCTGTGTGAACAGTATCGGTGCTGCGAAGGGCGACGAACTAGGGCGAATGAACTCCTTCTCGAGCAGGTAATCCAGCTGCTTCCTCAGTTCGTCCAGTTTGGGTTGGGTCAGTCGGAACTGTCGCTGTACTGTCGATTGTGCCCCCGGTTCTAGTTCTATCCTGTGGTCGTGCGGTCGCTGAGGTGGCAGTCCCGTCGGTAGGTCGTCCGGGAAAATGTCACTGTACTGCTTCAGTATTGCTGCCAGATCATCCGGTACGTCGGCTAGCAGTTTCTGTAAATCCCCTCCTTTGTCTGCTGCCTCGGCTTCCCGAATGTCAACCGCGTACACGTCAGCTCCTGCCGCTACGGCGCGTTTCATCGTGATCGCATTGACACGCACCGACGAAGACTCAGGCGAGCCCCAGCGAGGTAAGGCGATGTTGTTACCGTTCACTCGCACGGTGCAGTCACCCGTCGTCCAGTCGATTCCCGGATTGTGTCGTCGCAGCCAATCACGGCCGAGTAAAATGTCGGTTCCGTCGAGGGTCGTTGCGAGCATTTCCTGGCTAAACGTGAAGTTACCCCCGCATCGAATCCGAACTCGGTCCACACGTTCCCGTATCGCCAGTGGCGTGCCGTCGACCAGTCTTGCGTCGATCTCAGGTAAACATCTGTCCAGTGGCAGTCGCAGTTTTCGTGCTGTGGCAGTGTTGATAAGGCTGTGGCTGGCCCCTCCGTCTACGAAGATTTTAACTAAGTCTGTCCTGATTTTCCCACTAAGCTGTATGGGGCTGTCTACCGTAGTACCCTCCTTGTTCGGCCGGGTGTGGTCGATTGCGTGAACCGGCACAATCACTCGGTGAGGGTCGGTTGGGTCGGGCGAGTGGCGTGACCTGTCAGTAGAGGGCCCGTCTGCTACTGACTCCCAGCGTTTCCCTGCTGCTTGGTCTGTTTCTGCTGCTCAGCTTCCCCCTTTCCCTTAGCGTTTTCCGGGCATTCGCTCTTACGGTGTCCCGGCCGATTGCACACAAAGCAGCGCCCTTTGAATGGTGCGGCAGCGGCATTTGCGGCGACGGCACGTATCGTAGCGCCCTCGTTCGTCCCACGAGGCCGATGTCCCCAATTGCTGCTTCCGTAGGACCCCGGTCTCGGTCGGCGGAAGAAGTCAAGTTTCTCCGCCATAGCGAGAATTTCTTGAAAGTCGGTGACGCCGCGAAGCTGGATTTTCTGAGCGATGTCCTGCTTCAGGCCGCCGATGTAGCGGTCGATGCGCTCGCTCTTGTGCATGTATCCCACCTGCTCGCATAGCGCCAGAAATCTGCTCGTGTAGTCCTGGACGGAACCGAGTTGGCGCCAATTGCGGAGCTTCTGTCGCGCCGCGATCGAAGCCGCAATTGGCTCGAAACGAGCGCGCAGACCTGCGCACCACGCGTCCCACGTGCGATACTGGGGCACCTCCACGAAATACGACGGCGCCCAGGGTCTGGTTTGTCCTTCCCGTGTCGGTAGAGTCGCGTAGTCTGCCGGCTTCGTGACGATGACACGCCACCAGTCCATGGCGGGTCCTCGCAGCAACGACACGGCGTAGCGAATCTTCGCCGTATCCTCCGAGACGTAATTCGCGTCGAAGAAAACGTTCAACGTGAATAGCCACGCCTGAACGGTAGGACCACTCCGTTGACTCGGGTCAAAGCATGGCGGACGTTGCGGCTGCATCGGCGACGGTAGAGTTGACTCGCCGGCCGGCACGGAAATCGTGACTCGAGGCTGATTCCTGGCCGCATTCGTCGCGTCGGGGTGTGTCGTGCCGTGGCCGTCGTCTCCGTCGTGGCGGACGACGCCATCACTGGCCGCGCTCGCGGGTTGCCACACACTTCCGTGTTGCGATGTCTGTGGTGCGGGCTGTATCGGAGTGCCAGGTGCTTGGGATTGTGCTCGTGCGATGTCATTTTGCAGAGAGGTACGTTCCGCCGTTAATGCCGCGATTTCTTCGGAGCTTTCGTGCAATTGTCGCAGCAGCTCGTCCAGGCGGTCCTGCGTGAGGGTGGTGATATCGATGCGTTCGGCCATTCCGAAGGGCGTCGGCTCGTCTTAGTCTAGGCGCAGTCGTGGCTGCACGCCTTTACGAGAGAATGCGAGGACAGCGGCTCCTAGGCGCTAATGTGCGTGAGTCCCTTCGAGTGAAAAATCAAAAGTTGATTTCATGGGGTGCGGAGATGCGCGGTCCGGAAAGAAAGAGGCTCGAATACCAAGTGTTACGGGTGCAATGAATCGAAGTAGCGAGAATTGCACTAAGGTGTCAAACGAGTACAAAATGTGAGCGAAGGCATGAGCGAACATTTATACGCGAAACATGCAAACGGTAACGCGGTGCATGCGAGCTAGCTAGTGCTACGCTGGCAGCGAGGCTCGGGCTAGTCCCGAAGCGTAGGCCGACACGGCCGGGCCAGCAGTGCGAGGTTTGGTGAAACAGTGCGCGCGAAGTCGGCGAAGCCCCGTTAGCAGTAACGGGCGAACAACGGCTGCTGCTGTACGCGATGTTGCAGGGCGCGCTAAGGAATATCGAGAAAATTCCTTACAAAAACACACACTAAAGAAGCTATTCGGTGCAAATGGGCATGGGCAAATTATTAGGACACTACACAGATAATAATCACCGCATCAATGAAACATGAGGAGTTATTGAATCTAATAGTAAACAGGGTTTTGTTTGTACAAGAGCTTCATTTAGATTCGATTCCGTTAATATTGATTATTAAGGAATAGATTTGAAACAGTTCATGAGAACAATGGGTTTTTTTTATTGATAGTATGTTTATACAGCGTGATTAAGAATGCGTCTATAACCTAAATCATAAGCAAAATGTAAACCAGTTTGGGCATTCTAGAGCATACGTGGTATCGAGTGACGCCTTACTGGGCTCCGGGAGATCTTGTCGTCAATTCGGAAGCCTATCCGTGGCCACAGACACTAAGGGATCTAGGGGCTCCAGAATGGCACAGGTGAACTCAATGGATCCTTCTGATTCGGGAGCTTCGGATGGTCGCCACGTCAACTATGACAGCCAGAATTAATGCATCTCCTACCCTTCAAACCGATGCCTCGATCTCTCCGCCCCCTCTTCTCACACAACGACCCTTGGTTGCACAGTGAAGCACTACACATGCGCCACATCAGCTGTAGAGCGTATTCAGGCTTCTTCCCGTCTGGGTTCCAGCTTCCAGCCCCGTCGTTTTCGATTCGGAAAGAAGAGTTTCGTTTTTTTCAACCCACCAAACCACAACTGACACTCCAAACGCGATACAATCGTATACAGCAGAATGGGGACACATTTGAAATATCTAAACACGTCCTAGGGCTCATTTCCATTTCCACTTAGTGCATTGTGGTGGTGCGAAGAGGGCATAGTACGGAGCTCGCCTTCTAGCTCTGTTCTGTCTCAAACGCCAGACAGCCTTAGCAATTTGACGGACCGAGGGCGTGAATTCAGGCGCTCAGAAGGTCGTTAGGGTCGTCACGTCATGGCCACAGTGCAATCATCTGGACTGTCGAGCCTTTTACGGGGAAACCTCCCGCCGGAGCCACGGGTGAGCTCTGATCAGCAATTCACTTCTCTAACCACAATTCATTGTCCGATTATAACTTCTACGAGCTGGTTCACATCGTCTCATTCCAAGTTCTCCCCACTATCGCTGCTTCAGATCGCTGCGAAGAGCTCAGCCGGTCCGGCTCCGACATGCCATACGAGGCTTGCGGTGTGCGCCATTCGCGCTCGAGCCGACGGTAGAAGCAGGTCCGGAAGATTCGCCGCTTCTTCCGCAGCAGCCGCTTCCAGCACCTGTAAGAGCGCTGCCAGTTCACAACGAACGCAATGAAAACTCGTATAGGCTTCCAGAGATTACTTTCGCAATGAAACTCGTACGACTACTTTCGCTGCGGGTACCATCCGTGTGATCACTTTAGGTAGCTACCGCGAAGGCTTGGAAGTACTTGGTGCAAGTAGTGGGTGAATGCGCTGAACTTCGTCGGCATCATTGATGGTTTCGTCGTCAATTCACGAAAGTTGATAATAACAAAGCGCTAGAGCGCCATGCATACATTGATTTATCAATCTGGAACGGAAGTTGTCGAACCACCACCATTCATGCGTTCAACATTTTTCCACTGAGCGTTGTCCTTGTATGCACCGAAGCCATCTCTTCCTACTCATCAGTTCACCTCCCCGTTCTTACGTTCCGAAGGCTCCCGCCTCGATCCCTACCACCTCTCCATTCGTCTCTTTCCCTCATCCCCAACCTCCCTGCCTTCTGTTCTCCTTCCCCTCATCCCCCTCCCCCTCCCCCGCCCCCTCTCCCTCGCCTTCCCTCCCCACCCCCCACATCACCCCAGCGCTCATCCCCGCAGCGGCAGCCCTTGCCTCGGACTCGCCCACACCCGATGCCGTCGCCACCGTCGCAGATGCGACGTCGACAGTCGCAGAGGGCGAGGGGCTGGACATTGGCTTCAGCTTCAACGACCTAGACCTGGGGCTGGATGCGTCTTCTGCTGATAATGCTGCTGATGCTGCCGCGGGTGCAGCAGATGCTGTGTCTGCTGCTGCCGATAGTATCGCAGTGCCGGACGAGGTGCTTGACCTGCCCGCCAGCTCGGCCCTTCCAGACCTGCCCGACCTGCCCAAGTTCTCGTATCCCACCAGGGATGTCGCCCCTACTTTTGAGAAACCAGGATTTAGCATGCCCGAATTCAAGAAGCCCGAATTTACCATGCCCGAGTTTAAGAAGCCTGAGTTTGAGTTTAGCTTGCCTGAATTCAAGAAGCCGGAATTCAGCCTACCTGACTTCCAGAAGCCAGATTTTAGCCTGCCTGATTTTAAGAAACCCGAATTTTCGCTACCCGAATTCAAGAAGCCCGACTTTGCGCTCCCCGAGTTCAAGAAGCCCGAATTCTCGTTACCAGAGAACCTTTCAGACCTGAAGGCGCCTTCCTTTTCGCTGCCCGAATTTTCCAAACCAGAATTCAAGCTGCCTGACTCATCCGAGCTCCCTCTCCCTAAGACCGACTTCAAGCTGCCCGACTTACCCACCCCAGAGTTCAACCTGCCCGAGATCCCGCTTCCATCCTTCCCCATCCCGAGCCTCCCCTCCCCCTCGAACCTCCCCGTCCCGAAGCTAACCGTGCCTCGGGCAATTTCCGAGCCTGTGGAAAACGCGGTGGCGGCGGCGACCGCGTCGGTTGCGGACTCGGCGGCGGCGGCGGCGGCAGTGGCGCAGCGGGAGTACCTGGCGGCGTATTCGGCGCTGCGCGAGAGCGTGCCTGCGGACGCGCTGCCGCTGGTGGAGAAGGTGGAAGCCAACCTCGCTTCGCTGTGGGACGCTGCTAGCGGACTGACCAAGGAGGTGGCGGTGCAGGTGAGGATAGAGCATGGCAGGTGAGACGGGCGAGTAGTGCAGGGTGTGGATCAGGGGTTCACGAGCGCGAGTAGTGAGGGTGGCGGAGTGGCGCCCTGCCACCGCTGCCGCTGGTGGAGAAAGTGTGGGCGAACCTGGCGTGGCTGTGGGATGCCGCGAGCGGACTGATCAAGGAGGTGGCCGTGCAGGTGAGACGGCGAGCAGGCGTGGGAAGTGGCGGTTGTAGATCAACGGGTAGATTGGCGCCCTGCCACCGCTGCCGCTGCAGCTGGTGGAGAAGGTGGAGGCGAGCTTGGCGTCGCTGTGGGACGCCGCTAGCGGACTGATCAAGGAGGTGGCCGTGCAGGTGAGACGGCGAGGCGGGCAGGTGAGATGTCGAGCAGGTGACGGTAGTGGCGGGTGTAGCTCAGGGGGTCACGCGTGCAAGTGACAAGAGCAGCCAGCTTTTGAGGCGGCTCAAATGCAGTTGAGATACGAGGCTGCTCTAGTCCTGAGAGTGGCGGGTGCGAGGCGTGCAGGTGAGGGGCGAGGCGTGCAGGCTCGCTCCATCACTCACTCCTCCCACTCCCATCCTTCCTCTCTCACCTGCTCCACTCAGCCATCCTTCCCTTTTCTTCCTCTCTCCCTTCCCCTCCCCCTTCCTCCTCTCTCTTCTCACCCTTCCTCTCCCCGTCGCCCCACCTGTCTCCCCTCCATGTCGCCTCTCCACCAGGTGGCGGTGCTATCAGCAGCAGCGGTGAGGGCAGCGTTTGGAGCAGCAGGCTTTGATGCGGACGACACTGTCGTGGCCGCCACTCTCATTGCCACCGGCACGCTGCTGCTTGGGTAAGAGCACTGTGCAGTGCTTTGTGGTGCAATGCGGTGCTGCACTGCGCTGCGCCGCGCTGGGCTGCACTGTGTTGTGCCACTTCTGATTTTGTTCCTATTGCTACTTCTCTCTCCCAGTTTCTAACTTGTCTAACCTTCGCTCGCTGGTCCTCCTCCCCTGCCCAGTTGCTTCTTGTTAGATTTCCTCTTTTCTCTCCCCTTTCGTCCGCCCCTATCGCCTGGCCCCTGCTGCCTCCCCTTGCTACCCCCACCCCTCGCGCCTCCCACCCTTCCCACCGCCCCCCACCCATGAGAATGGCGTATGAGAGGGGACTTTTGAGTTGACTCAAAAGTCACCTCGCGCCTGCCACCCTTCTCACCGCCCCCCACTCATCAGAATGGCGTATGGGCGGGCGTGGGAGGTGTATGGGCGGATACTCGGGCAACTTGTCGGCAGACGAGCCATTCATTGCAACCCGACCCCTCCCCTGTCTCCCATCCGTCCCCGCACCCCTCCCTCCACCCGTCGCTCCCACTTGGTCAGAGTGGCGTATTGGAGGGCGGCATATGGCGGGTATTCAGGCAACCTGTCAGCAGAGGAGGCACTCATTGCAATTCGCTCCCTGCCTCCCGTCCCTCCCCCATCCCTCCCCCATCCCTCCTCCATCCCTCCCCCATCCCTCCCCCATCCCTCCTCCATCCCTCCCCCATCCCTCCCCCATCCCTCCCCCATCCCTCCCCCATCCCTCCCCCATCCCTCCCCCATCCCTCCCCCATCCCTCCCCCATCCCTCCCCCATCCCTCCCCCATCCCTCCCCCATCCCTCCCCCATCCCTCTCCCTTCTTCCTCCCCTTCCTCAGCGTGGCATACTGGAGGGCGGCGTACGGGGGGTATTCGGGCAACCTGTCAGCGGAGGAGGCGCTGGAGGTGCTCAAGGAGAGCAAGGCCGTGCTCGTTGACATCCGCCCTGAGGTGAGAGCGATGCCCCGTGCCCCATGCCCCATGCATACCCCATGCTCCATGCCCCTGAGGTTAGAGGGCAAGGAGAGCAAGGCCGTGCTCGTTGACATCCGCCCTGAGGTGAGATGGATGCCGCATGCCGCATGCCCCATGCCCCTGCGGTGTGAGGGCGAGGAGAGCAAGGCCGTGCTCGTTGACGTCCGCCCTGAGGTGAGAGGATGTCCCGTGCCCCATGCTCCATGCCCTGAGGAGAGAGGGATGCCCCATGCCCCAAGCACACCCCATGCCCCATGTCCCATTCATGCCCCTACATGCCCCATGCCCCATGCGCCATGCCCCGTGCCCCATGCCCCGTACATGCACCATGCCCCATGCCCCATGCCCCGTACATGCACCATGCCCCGTACATGCACCATGCCCCATGCCCCATGCCCCATGTCACAAGCGACATGCTTCCCATGCCCTCGTGCCTTGACGTAAGCTCTCGACCCTGCTCGCCGTCACCTCCCCCGTCGGGTCCCATGCCTCATCTCTCCCGTCTGTCCCCCATGCCCCATGTGCGCCATCTGAACTCCCCATCTGCTTCCATGCCGTCAGTTCCTGAGGGACGAGAACGGCGTTCCCGACCTGCGCAGGGGGGCGCGCTTCAAGAGTTTTAGAGTCGACTCATAAATCCCCTCTCCCTTGCGCCTCACCTCCCCCATCTCCCCCAACTCCCCCTCTCCCCCCTCCTCTGTGCTGCAGTTCCTGAGGGACGAGAACGGCATTCCGGACCTGCGCAGGGGGGCGCGCTTCAAGGACTGTTGAGTCGACTCCAAATCCCCTCTTCCCCACGCCTCACCTCCCCCGTCTGCTCCCCCCCCCTCCCCCCTCTCCCCGTGCCACAGTTCCTGAGGGACGAGAACGGCATCCCTGACCTGCGCAGGGGGGCGCGCTTCAAGGACTGCAGCGTCAAGTTCGAGAAGGTGCGCCTCCTGCCCTGCTAGATAGTATGGGACTGAAGGGTTTGCCACTTGGCCTGTTATCATGGGTCCGGATGGTGTGCTTCTTACCCTGCTGCTGTGATGCTGAGTGGCACAGTGCCACTTTGGTGTGCTGAGTGGCACAGTGCCACTTTGGTGTGCTGAGTGGCAAATGGTGTGCGAATTTACCATGCAAATGGTGTGCTTCTTACATGAAATTTTGCCATTGCAGCAGTGTGCTGGACGCAGTGTTGCAACAAAAGAGCTTGCAAGGTGGGGCCTCTATGTGATACTAATCTATGCCACACACACACACACACACTCACGCGCACACGCGCACACACACACACACACACACACACACACACACACACACAACCAGCCCCTCCCGTCCTTCCCTTCATCCCCCCACCACACACTCACACACACTTACACTATCATTGAAGAGAACAGCTACGAGTGCTGTTCATTTCAACGAGTGGCCCCACCGGCTGCAGCAGGCGCAGAGCCGATGTTCCAAGGAACCCAGCCAAGTAGTGATGGATGGCCTCTCGCCTTCATGCCCGGTCCTGTGGCGGTCTTCCGTGCCTTGAAGCCATCATCCCATACGCTGTCACGCGCGCACGTCCTCATCCCTTGCTTCTGTTTCCTCCCCCTACAGCTGGGCGGCCATCTGAGGGGGCAGATGCGCAGCCCTGACTTTGTTCACTCGATGCCCAATTCTGTGAAGTGGCATGCGCTAACGCCCCCGTCCCTTTCCCCATCGTTCCCTGCAGCTGGACGGCCCTCTGAGGGGCCAGGTGCGCAGCCCCAACGTGGTGGATCTGTTTTGAGTTGACTCACAACCCACTCAAACCACCCCTGCTCCCTTCCTCCCACTCTCCCCCCCCCCCTTCTCGCTGCAGCTGGACGGCCCTCTGAGGGGCCAGGTGCGCAGCCCAGACGTGGTGGATCTGCAGCTCATGGCCGCTAAGATCAAGGGCGTGAGAGGCGTGCAGGTGAGCGCCCTTTATAAGGACGGTTCGTTTAAGTGCATTAAGAGCATGCAGGTAAACTCCCTTGTAATCAAAACATCTTAACAGGAACATACATATGCAAATTACCATTACGGCAAAAGGCTGGTCAGCTACCTACCGAAAATGCCCACGCGGAATTGAAAAGGTCGTGCATCTGTTTTCCACCCTCCGTGGTGGCAAATTGGTTGGGCGAGTGATAAACCATTGCTCAACCAACACCCTCGCTTCTAAAGTTGAACAGACAACACGTTGGTGACATTTGACTGTACAGTTCGCTTCATTCTTTCTTCTGCGTTTCCCCCTCTCCTCCTGCTCCCGGTCTCTCTCACTCCCTGTGCTTGTATCGGGTGTGACTGTAAGCAGAAGGACACGCAGGTGATAATAATGGACGAGAGCGGTGGCAACCTCGCAAAGGAGATCGCCAGGGGTCTCTCCAGAGTGGGCTTTAAGGTGCGGATGGGGCAGGGCACGGATCACTTAACCTCATGTTGAGGTGCCTCAAGGATAGGCTATCCAGAGTGGGCTTTAAGGCTTGAGACGCTCTGAGTATTCAGACTTAAGGCGCCTGAGTGTACAATACAAAGCTTGACAGGTGGACACACGGATTTGCACCTGGAGTGTGACTCACCTCACCCCCCTGCATTGACGCAATGCCTTCCTGAACGCTGCCCAGGTGTCGTGCTTGCCTGCCGCAATGCGCAGTGCCTTGGATTGCAAGTGACAAATGATGGGAAGAACCTAATGATACGTCTGGGGCTCCCATGACACAGTTCTTGTTATGGTGCACACTGCATGATGCGCACATGCTCTCTCTTTTGCTCTTGGCCCGGTGCCTGTGAGCCTGTTGATGAGCCTCAAGGGCCGTTCCATTCGCAATCTCGTGATTGACGCGACTGTGTGCCTCTGTGTGCCTCTGTGTGCCTCTGTGTGCCTCTGTGTGCCTCTGTGTGTGCGGTGCATGCGTGTGTGCATGCGATTGTGATTGCACCGCTCGTACGTGATGGACAGGGGATTTGACTCGTGGGTGGCCAGTGAAGTTGGAGGTGCCTCAAACCTCCCCCTCCCCCCGTCCCCCTTCCCCCTTCCCTCGTGTGTGCGTGTGTGCCTCTCTCTGTGTGTCCGTGTGCTGCGTGTTTGTCTCATGTGACGTGCAATGGCAGCGCTCGTTCGTGATGGACGGGGGCTTTGACTCGTGGGTGGCCAGTGGTCTGCGAGTCAAGCCCAACGAGCCCGAGCGAGCAGCTGAAGTGCTCAAGAAGGTGAGCGCCCCTCCTCCCTCCCTCCCTCCCTCCCTCCCTCCCTCCCTCCCTCCCTCCCTCCCTCCCTCCCTCCCTCCCTCCCTCCCTACCTCCCTCCCTCCCTCCCTCCCTCCCTCCCTCCCTCCCTCCCTCCCTCCCTCCCTCCCTCCCTCCCTCCCTCCCTCCCTACCTCCCTCCCGCCCTCCTTTAGATCTAAAGGAGGATGCGATGGGCCAAGCCTGACAGATAAGTCTGTTCAGAAACAAAGGAATGGGGTGTGCTTGTTGGTGGAGTCAATTGAGTCTCACACCCATGCTGCCAGCATTTGTTTCTTCCCCCAGTGTTTGATTGAGATTTCTCGCAACCGGTTCTCTTCCTTATTTTCAGCATCCGGGTTGTGTCATCCTGACACGTGGCACCCTGTCATGTCTTGCCCTGCCACGTGGCACCCTGGCAGGAGTACGAGGCGTTTGTGGAGGACGTGCAGCCCACGCCCCTGGGAGTGGCCACTGTGGTGCTCGTGAGTTCCTCCTCCCTTCCTTTTTGTGTTACTCGCCACTCCTCCCTCCCCTCCCTTCCTGTGCTTCTCATGAGCCCACGCCCCTGGGAGTGGCCACTGTGGTGCTCGGGAGTCGTTGCCGTGCGCATGCTGAGAAAGACGCGTTGGCACCATGCACCATGCACCATGCACCATGCATCATGCACCATACACCATGCATCATGCACCATGTACCATGCACCATGCACCATGCACCATGCACCATGCACCATGCTCCATGCACCATGCCCCATGCACCATGCACCATGCACCATATACCATGCACCATGCACCATGCACCATGCTCCATGCACCATGTACCATGCACCATGCACCATGCACCATGCTCCATGAACCATGCCCCATGCACCATGCACCATGCCCCATGCACCATGCACCATGCACCATGCACCATGCACCATGCACCATGCACCATGTACCATGCACCATGCCCCATGCCCCATGCACCATGCCCCATGCACCATGCACCATGCCCCATGCACCATGCACCATGCACCATGCACCATGCACCATGCACCATGCCCCATGCCCCATGCCCCATGCACCATGCACCATGCACCAACGCACCATTGTTTGCCCTTCTCCTTGTTTCCCTCCCTCCATCCCCACGCTACCCCTTTCTGCAGGGCACCGGAGTCGGCATCTTCGCCCTCATTGGTACGACTGCTTGCTATGGCGTGCTCTGTTCTCATGCCCTCGTGCTCTCGTGCCCTTATGCTCTCACGCGCTCATGCTCTTGTGTCTGTTGTCATTGTGACGTGATGCATTCGTGCTGCATACTGCGTGCAACCATCTCTGCAAGAACTACTCAAAGCAACACTGCAAATCATTCCTTATTCCCCTCCCACACTGTTATATTCTTGAAGCCCACACATCCCTCTATGATGGAACAATACCGTCATACCATTTTCTCAAATAGTTTCTCTTTTGGTCCGACATCTCGTCATATGGGGACACCACCTGCATTGCATGAATCGGGCCTTCAGCACCCCCAATTCTCCTCGCCTCTGCCACCTCTAATCACCACTCCCTCTCATCACCACTCCCTCTCATCACCACTCCCTCTCATCACCACTCCCTCTCATCAACAATACCTCTCATCAACAATCCCTCTGTTTCAGCATGCTCTTAATGCTTGCAGTGTCACACGTTATCTGTACCGCTCCAACCCATCCCGACCACTCTCTACCACTCCAACCCTCCTTGCACCCATGTTTCCCCCCTCCAAATCGCACTGCACCGCTAACAGAGTGGGAGCGGTCGCTGCAGCTGCTGGGAGTGCTGGCAGTGGTGCAGCTGATCTACCTGCGCGTCAAGACGTACGAGACCGAGGAGGACCTGCAGCGGGACGTGCGGTGAGTGAAGCAAATACGGTGTGTGTAGAGGGGACGTGCGGTGAGTGAAGCAAATACGGTGTGTGTAGAGGGGACGTGCTGTGAGTGAAGCAAATACGGTGTGTGTAGAGGGGACGTGCTGTGCATGCGTGTGAGGGTATGGTGTGTGCTGGGAGTGCTGGCAGTGCTGCAGCTGCTGGGGGTGCTGGCAGTGGTGCAGCTGATCTACCTGCGAGTCAAGACGTACGAGACGGAGGAGGACCTTCAGCGGGATGTGCAGTGAGTGAAAGGGGGGAGGGAAGTGTGCTGAGTATGTGTGGAGGAGACATGTGGTGAGTGAGGAAGGCAATGTGAGGCAGAGGAAGGCGTGCAGTGGAACGTGCAGATCTGCATCTTTTTATTATATTGTCGACTCAAAACCCTAAAGAATCACTGTAACTACCGCAGGCACCTGCCTGAAGTGTACTCATCAACACCTTTGCCAACAACAGCACCTTGAACATCCCCATCCCCATCCACCATTCATTGATACCTTCATTGTTCCAAATAGCCACCATTGTCGCCATCGCCCTTCTAGTTTGGCTTGCGGGCTTTGTAAACCATATCTGTTATCTCTCTCGCTCATTTCTACCTTCCTTCTCTTCTCGTCCTTTGTTCTCTCCACCCTCTCCTTCCTCACCATGCCCCTCCCCTGCTGGCCCCTCTTCTTTCCCTGCATGCCTCTCAGAGCACTGCTGACGCCCTTCTCTCTCGCAGCCTCAGCAGCAGGGTGGGCCCTCGGCACCTCCTCTTCTGCCTCTGCAGCACCCAAGGCCGCCAAGCAGCTCACAGATGGAGAGGGTGAAGGGGGGAGCAAGAGCAAGGCTTCAGAGGCTTCCAGTGCGCCTGCTGCTGCTGCCACCTCAGCTGCTGATGTGGCAGTTCAGACTGACAACGGCAGTCTTGCTGTTGCACCTGAAGCCGATGCACCAGCACCAGCTGCAGCAGAAGCGCCAGCTGCAGCAGAGAGAACAGAAGCTACAGTAACGAGTGAGGCGAGCCTTGATAAAGCCACGAGTGCAGCAGTGACAGAAACTCCTACTACAGAGAGCAGCGCACCCTCTTCTGATGTGCCTGCCCCTGCCCCTGCTGCCCCTGCCCCTGCTGCTGCTGTAGCAGAGTCAGTTGTTGAGTCACCAGCTTCCCCTTCCACCGCAGCAGCGATCGAGGCAGCAGCTGCACCACCCTCGCCCCCTAAGCCCACCCCCAGCACCGCCACCAGCACCCCCACATCGTCCGTTGACAACGCATAGGGAGTCAGAGCCAGTATCTTGCTGCCCTGGATTTTCTAACGTTTGTTGTGTAGTGTGTGTTGCTTGACTTGGATTGAAGAGACCTTAGCAAGCAACTGCCCTGTTGAGTGGCAGGCAGTACAAGACTAGGTCAGGGAGTACATCTTCCTTTTTTTGTTGTTTTTTCTTGTGTGGTGACATTTTTGCAGCTATTTGCATGGGGGGTGCAGGTTGTATTGTGTGGTTAGGGTGTGGTTCTGTTTGTACTCCAGCACAAGCATGCGCTGTGCAGTCATGACATCTTGTGCCAATGTTTGACATCCCCAATGATGCATTTTGAAAGAAAATATCCACTCCAGCCACATGCTAAAGAGCATGCTTTCCTTGGAGGGATGTCGAGAGATAGCAGGTCAGACATAAACATGTGTAGTATTGAGCAAAAGTTGAAGTTTCATAATCGCATAGGAGGAATCATCATAACATGTGGAGTATTGAGCAAAAGTTGAAGTTTCCCATTCTTATAGGGAGAATCATGTACAGTCAGGAAACTTCCTCTTCCTTACTTCGCGTCCCTGCTCAGCGCGTACACCACTGTTCCCGCCAACAGCACCCAATAGTAATCCGTTACCACTCGCGACACTCGCTTCGACACTATTCCCGCCACTGTTCACGACGCGACCCAACCTCACGGTTCGGTTGGTAACCCGCGCTCCGGACCTCCGCCTCGACATTTCCCAACCTCGGCGCTAGGCCCGTCGCGCACCCCATTTTCCACACATTACCGTTACCACTGTAGTTTCGCTATATATTCTTCGCTCATGCCTTCGCTCATTGTACTTCTGCTTCGATAGTGCCATTCTCGCTCGCTCACTCAATTGCACTCGTAACACTTGGTATTCAGAGCCTACGATCTCTTCTCGGACCGCATCCACACCTTCGCTTCCCCACTATCTCAATTTTTGGGGGGGGTAGACGTCTCTCAGCGACACAGCACCGCCGCTCGTAGTGCTCTCTCGTAAGCACGCACGGCCACGACAGAGGCTCTCGCTGAGCTTGCCCGACACCCCCGCCATGGCCGAATTCACTTTCGCGACACTGACGCAGGAGCAACTCGACCGTCTCGTGCGCCAAGTCGAAGATTCGGCGCTCGAAATTGCGACACTCACGGCGGAACGTGACTCCGCGCGTCAGCAATCCACGATGAATACCCCAGCGCCACCACACGCACCTGCAAATGCACCCGCACAATCGGAGGAGCCGATCGTCATCTCATCAGGCACACCGACACAAAACGACAGCGTAGGACAGCGCTCAGGCGCAGCCAGTGATGGCGCCGCTCAATCAATGCCTGGCATGGAGAGGAACAGGGTCGCGCCGAGCCCGCGGGAGCCCCGTGAAGCGCGTCGGCACGTGGAATTTGCGGCGACAAGTGGCGACCACGCCATCATGGAACCAATGCCACTCAAGCCGCAGCGCTCGCCCTGCTTCGACCCGAGCCAGCGTGGAGGTCCGACGGTTCAATCGTGGGTCTTCACGATGAACGTCTTCTTCGACGCGAATTACGTCGAGTCGGACGCAGCGAAGATCCGATACGCCGTCTCGCTGCTGAGGGGCCCCGCCATGGACTGGTGGCGAGTCATCGTGACGTCGCCACGCGCCTACGAGCCACCGTCGCAAGAGGAAGGGCCCACGGGTCCAGCTGTCACCTGGAGTTCATTCTGCGAAACCGCCCAGTACAGCACGTGGAATGCGTGGGGCGCAGGGCTTCGGGCGCGCTTCGAGCCAATCGCGGCTTCTATATCGGCGCGTCAGAGACTGCGTACTTGGCGGCAGCTCGGGTCGGTCCAAGACTACACAAACGGTTTTCTCGCATTATGCGAGCAAGTCGGCTACATGCACGAAGCGGAGCGGGTGGACCGTTACGTCGGAGGGCTGAAGCCGGATATCTCGCACGAAATCATGCTACGCGGACTCTCGAATTTCAACGAGATTCTCGCGCTCGCCGAGAAGATCGACATTTTACGCCGTCCGAGACCAGGGTCCTACTACGGACATCGCCCTCGGGGGCCGTTGCGACAAATGCAGCTGCCGCGCCGTTCAAAGGGCGCTACTTTGCTTGCAATATGCCGGGCCATCGCAAGAGTGAGTGCCCAGAGGAGCTGAGGCGCCGCGGAGCAGAGCAGGGGAGGGAGTCTCCAAGGCAGGGAAACGCCAGCAGTCAGTAGGAATCGGGCCAACTACTGACGAGACTGCCTGCTCGCCCAACCCCACCGACCCTCACCGATTCACAGTACCAATTCACGCCATCGATCGGGCTCGGACGAATAAGGAGGGTACAGCGATGGATTGCCCAGTACTGATCCACGGGAAAATACAGGGAGCAGAAGTGAAGATTTTTATCGACGGAGGAGCAAGTCACAGTTTAGTTAATACCGCGACTGCACGGAAACTACAACTGACTCTCAGCCGGTGTTTACCGGAGGTAGATGCACGCTTAGTTGACGGCACACCGCTTGCAATACGGGAGAAGGTGGAGAGAGTAAAAGTCCGCTGCGGGGGGAATTTCGGGTTTACACAGGAAATGCTCGAGACGACATTGGATGGGCACGACATTTTACTGGGACGTGATTGGCTGCGACGCTATAACCCGCGAATTGACTGGACGACGGGTAGCTGCACTGTGCGAAGTAGCGGTAACTGGGTTGAGCTACCTCGCTGGCAGTTGCCCGAGTCTTCAACGGTCCACGTCAACGCCATCACAATGAAACGGGCCGTCGCCGCTGGAGCTGACGTGTACGCAGTGGACGTCGCAGTAGTAGGAGAAGCAGAGCAGCCGATCGATTTTCAGAAACTGCTGGCAGCGGTACCGCCCGAACTACAGGAACAGTTGAAACGGTACCCGGGGATTTTTCCCGACGATTTACCGGAGGGACTGCCACCTCAGCGAGCACACGACCACCGATAGAGTTAGAAGCCGGGGCACAACCAACCGTACAGCGACAGTTCAGACTGACACAGCCCGAGCTCGACGAACTGAGGAAGCAGCTAGATTACCTGTTAGAGAAGAAATTCATCCGACCAAGTTCGTCACCGTTCGCCGCACCGCTACTGTTCACACCGAAAAAGGACGGAGGTTTTCGCATGTGCATCGGTTACAGAGCGCTGAACAGGGTAACAGTCAAGTCGCGATACCCCATTCCCCGCGCCGACGAACTGATAGATCAACTGCGAACAGCACGGGTCTTTTCGAAAATCGATTTACGGGGAGGTTACCATCAGATTCGAGTCAAACCATCGGACTGTGCCAAGACGGCTTTTAGGACTAGGTACGGGTCATTCGAGTACACCGTGATGCCACTCGGGCTGACCAACGCACCGGCGACATTTCAGATGACCATGAACGAGGCGTTTATGCCACTTTTAGATAAATGCGTGATAGTTTACCTCGACGACATCCTCGTATACAGTCGCGATAAGCAGCAGCACTTAGCAGACCTGGAAGCAGTATTTAAAGTTTTAGACGAGCATCGCCTACTGACCAGGGTTCCAAGTGCGAGTTTTTTCAGGACAGGCTAGAGTTTTTGGGGCACGTTATTTCGGAGGTTGGGGTTGAAATTGACCCAAAGAAGCTGGACACGGTACAAGCCTGGCACCCCTCGACAAATATCACGGAGTTGCAGAGTTTTCTGGGGTTCGTCAATTACGTGCGTCGGTTCGTCCCCGACATGGCACGGTTAATAGCACCGCTGACGGACTTGCTACGGAAGGGGGTCGCTTTTACGTGGGGGGAGAAAGAGCATGTTGCCTTCTCTGCCCTGAAAAATGTTCGCTGTTCACCGCCCGTACTGCGCATCGCCGACCCACACCGCCCATTCGAAGTAGTTACAGACGCAAGCGACATCGCCATCGGTGCAGTTCTGCTACAGGACTCCGGCAACGGCCTACAGCCCATCGCATACGAGTCACGAAAACTGCATCCGCCCGAGACAAATTACCCGATACACGACCGCGAAATGCTCGCGATCGTGAACGCGTTCAAAGTGTGGCGCTGTTACTTGACCGGCGCAGACGTGACAGTACGGACAGACCATAAATCACTACAGTACCTCCGTGCACAGCCCCACCTCAGCCCACGACAGATTCGCTGGCTCGATTTCCTCGAGTCAAACTTCCACTACACGGTCACCTACAAAAAGGGGGCATCAAACATCGCTGACGCACTGACCCGCCCCACTGCCCAAATCCAAGCAATACTACTCGCCCAGACCAGCCCACTACTGACAGGAGTATTCACCCACGGCTATCAAACGGATCCGTTCTTCACAGGAGGAAATTCGCAGCAGTTCGCAGCAGCAAAGGGAGTTTATTATGTAAAAGCCGGCACCGACCGCATCTGGGTACCAGGGTACACACGACTACGGGAATTACTGCTACAGGAGGCACACGACGGAGTTACCTCAGGCCATTTCGGAGTAGAAAAAACACGGCAGCAGATGCAGCGGTACTATTACTGGCCCGAAATGTTGACCGACGTGCAACGACACGTGGCATCGTGCCCCACTTGCCAGCTCATGAAATCCTCACGGAAGCGGCCGGCAGGACAGTTACAGCCGATACCACCCCCAGAGCGTGCTTGGCAGCAGGTGACGATGGACTTCGTCACGGGGTTACCGGCCGGAGCCAGTGGGAACGACGCGATCCTGGTCGTCGTCGATCGGCTGACGAAAATGGCACATTTCGCAGCCTGCAAGAAATCGATCACAGCCGAATAAACAGCCCGCCTCTTCATCTCCATCGTCGTTCGACTGCACGGGATACCAACAGCAATCATCAGCGATCGCGACACGAAATTTACCAGCAACTTCTGGCGGAACCTGTGGCAGCAGTTCGGCACGCGACTACAGTTTAGTTCTTCATACCACCCCGAGACCGACGGACAGACAGAAAGGACAAACCAGACCATGGAGCAACTCATCCGAGCCACGTGCGACGACCCGACCACCTGGGAACAGCAGCTGCCG